CCGGAGAGAAAGTCGTCCATATCGAGAGCACCTTGATTGCCAAGGCCTTGATCTCTGGATGCCCTGCCCCATGCGCTTCCCACCACAACACTGCGTTGTCCTTCGAGGCCCTCTGCACTGCCCGCTCGGAGCCAAACACCCCGTTCCCGAACTGGAAGTCGTACAACTGGTCCATACAGTCGGTGAACTTCTTGCTCCCCCTCTTTCCGATGAGTCGATCGACAATGCTCTCAAACTGCATCATGAGCTCCACATTGCTGAAAACGGCAATGTCCCTCAAGACAGGATCAAGCAACCGGGCCACAACATGAATGGGGCTGAGCAGCATGTCAGTCCTGTTCGCCACCGCCGTCAAGATGATGTCTCGCTCCTCATCCGTGAGGCGGGCTGCACGAAAGAAGACCGGCAACTGGCAGGCCATGTCATAGATGCGTGAGAGGCAGTGGACATCCTTATCCACCTCTCGCAACACGTCATAGGGGCCCTTCATCAGGGCGGCCAACTTCTTCACATTAGTCCAAAAGGTCCTGTCAAGAAYAGTTTCCTSCACGAAGAAGGCCTTCTCCCTAATGTCCCCTCRCCACACCATATTCTCCCAAGCGAATCCGTTCACAATCCGAGTGATGGCCTTCACGCACACCTYGAGCCGCTGCAGCATGAYGTAGTGGGTCCCAAACCTTGTTTGCGCAGGGCGAAGCAAGCAAGTGCAATTCAACTCTGGGGATTGCAAYAGTTGCGTCCTCAACTRGGATCGTGGCCACATGTGGAGTCTGAAGAAGTTCACCACCTTGTTGGCCTTCTTGATGATGTCATCGGCCCATTCCTGCTTCCAAATATCGTGCATGAGCATGTCCATGYAGTGAGTCGTGCAAGGAATCCAGTAGATCTGCTCGAACTCCGGATCCTCCCTCAACATCCTTGCAGCACTTGTATTTCCAGCGAAGGAATCTGTGYGGATGGCAGTGATCTTGTCCACCCCCCACTCCCTGAAGAACCTCTTCCAACTGGCAACGGCAGCAACTGAGTCCTTATCCCCCTCGCTCACATCCTCACACTTGATGAAAACCGGCTTCGCCCGCCCAGCAAGGATGAAGTTCATAAGCGATCGCCCATATATGTCTGTGGTGCCATCGGTTATGAATGTGCAGCCTGTGACTTCCCAATCGTCCCGGATCGCCTGCTCCTCATTCTCCAACCTCTCTCACAACCGATTGAGAAGCCGGCATCTGAGCGGGTTGTAGCCTGTGGGCACAAGGGGGTGACTCGCCGTAGGCTGYGGCCCATAACACGCCAAAGTGAACTTCTTGAAGCTCCTGCTTTTGGCGACGTTGAATGGGATGGCATTCTCCACGAAAAACTCGTAGCAAGAGTCGTCAATAGCCTCCTGCCTCGGGTTCTTCGCATACCTCACAATGCTCATTTGCCTGCCCACCACTGCTGTGCGGCCCGCCCGCCGCTCGACCTGCGAGGAAGTCGGTGTCCGAATAGCAGTGCCTCCACCTGTCACCTCCCCCCTCGTGCACTCGTCTCCTCCAGCAAGAGGATGCCCACCAGCCGCCTCTTCAACCACCCCACCGACGCAGCGTCTTTCACCTTCGCTGCCTGCAATGTCCTCTACCGCATGGGCACCATCGTCGTCGTTGGGGTTCCCCTCCATCGCGCGCTGCACCCTCTCCAGAATGTCCGGTGGGAACTGAGYGCCGGCCTTGTGCAATCTCCTCCAGATCGCAAGGCTGGCTTGTGGACACCGGGCGGAGGGCCTCTTCTTATAGAAGTGCTCGCCGGCCSGATTTTGATTCCCAGTGTACTCAAGGCCGCACAATTTGCACTTTAGCTTCCTCRCACCTCGAGCATTCCCCGACAAAAGTTGGTYGGGAGTCACCCAAGTCCACACGACGTGCTTGCCCCTGTAGTTTGTGTCCTCTTGGAAGGAGACTGTGGACGAACGCAAAACCCCTCCAGCAGCTGCGCTGGTGCTGGCCATGGTGCCACACGCGCGGTACCAGTTCACGCGGCAAGTRCCGATGTGGCAGCTGTTGATGCGGCAGGTCCTTATGTGTGAGSTGTTGAGGGGGAATGCTACTRAAGTGGCGCCTCCTGTCGTGGCAGCTGCTGATGTGCCAAGGACATACGTGGCAGCTACTGATGTGCGAGCTGCTGACGTGGCAACTGCTGAGGTGCTAGCTGCTGACGTGGCAGCCGATGACGTGGCAACTGCTGACCTGCCAGCTGCTGACGTGGCACCTGCTCACGTGGCAGTTGCTGGCGTCGCAAGTGCTAGTCCTGCATAAGCAAGCAACAAYGGAAGGCGGACGAGACGTCACGTCAGTGCAACCTGTGCCAAAGAAGCAGAAGAAGGGAAAAAAAAAAAAAAATCGCTACATGTTGGGCGAGGTGGAGGACAGACAGATAGACAGACATACAGACAACGAAACACATAGACAGACAGACAGACAGGCAAACAGACAGACAGACATAAAGAAAGACAGATAGATAGACA